CGGCCTCGGGGGTCGAGGCTGGGAGGCACCCCCGAGGGAGGGAGGACACGGAGCCCCGGACGAGGGAGGGCGGAGCGGGGCCTTCGGGCAGGCGAACCCCGGTCTGCCTCCTGGGGATTTCCCTCCAAGCCCCGGCATGGATTGGGTAGCAACCTCTCCGATGAGTTCTTCCCCAACAGGGTTCGACCCCCGTCAGGAAGGGAGGGGATCAACGGCTTTCTAAAATACTGTACGGAGAATAGGGCTCGACCCGAAAGGGGCAGCCGATGAAGAGCAAAGGGACCAATGATGACATTTTAGAAACAACCATTCAACCTCTGATCAGGACTTGCCAAAAGAAAGAGAAAGAAAAAGGCTCTTGACAGCCTTGCCCCCCCCCATCCCCCCCAGCGCACATTTGGGGGATACCCCGGGGCAAGACCAGCCAGAGACTGTGTGCCCTCTTTCTTGGCCTGGGGAGGGCTTGGCCAGCCTTCCTCCGGCGGGCGCCCCTGGGAGGTCAGCCAGTGTCCAGCTCTGCTTTCCAAGGGGACCGACCTGCCCGGCAGGCATCCGCCCACCTCCAGGGCCTCTTGCCCTGAGTGAGCAACAGGAACCGCCCCCCCCCCCAAGAAGGGCCTGCCGGCTTCTGCAATCCACCTGGCAGGGATGGTAGAAGCCCCCTGGGGGAGCCGCAGCCGGAGGCCGGGGTGCCCCTCCAACCCACTTGAGAGGAAGCCCCACCGAGCGCAGCGGAGCGGAGCGGAGCAGGCCTCCGCCGGGCACCCAGAGGACCGGCCTCCGGCTCTCTTTCGTGGCTCCTTCTCAAAAGTGGGCCCAACGACGGGTCTTGAACAACCGCCCACATCTATGGGAGAGTCAGGGGGCCCCCCAGCCACGGCACTTGCTGTTTTCCTCCCTTCTCCGCCGCCAAACACCTTGTGCTTTTCAGCTGGGAGTGAGCAACCACCCGCAGGAGCTGGCGTTCGCTGGCAGGCCTCCCTCTGCCAGATGCACCTGTTGTTACCTTGTGAGAAAACCCGTCTTTCTGTCTAGCAAGTACGAAGAGGAGGAGGAGGGCGGAGGGAGAGCGGGTTCTTAGCCACAAGGCCACCTCCGCACTGGATCAGGGCCGGTTGCTCTCCCTTTCTCCAGGGATGAAAAGAAACGGCACACACTTTGTGAAGCCGCCCGAGCAGCTGGACGTGGCCGGCCTCTTCCTTGCCTTGGCGCTCAGGGGCCAGACTTTGCTCCGCTTGCCTTCCGAGAGGCTCAGGGGTGGAGGCCCAAAGGGCTCTAAGGTAGGTGGCAAACTATAAAACAAAACAAGCTGATCTGCAACACCCAGAGGTGTGCGTGTGGGGGGACTCTTTCCAGGACATACAGATGTCTTTGACCATTTAAGGCAGCTCTGCTTCTAACAGCATCGCACCGCCTGGCCTGGAGTAGTCAGGGGACGGGCTCATCCTGCCGATGCTGTCACAGAACATCTCGTTTCTGGATAAATCTGCGTTTAATAATATTCCCATCCATACAACCAACACAACTTTTCACAGAATAAACTTTGAACACACACAGAGAGAATATTCTGTACTTCTCCCTTCCGTTTCTTATGTATACGAGGACTAGACTCCAACCATTGAGGGCGACAAAGCCCTCCCACCAAGGAAGGAAAAGTTTAATGCCAGTTCTTGTCATGCTGGGCTGTTTGCAGAGAAGAATTAGGGCAACGGTGGATTATTAATTCCCTAAGCCTTTGATGGCGGTTACAGTCTTCCACCCCGGCCTCTGGAGGGATGCAAGCCGGCAGCCAAGGTCCCTGCCAGGACAAGAGATGACCGAAAGGCAACCCCCTGAAAGCCATCTTTGGGGGGGGGGAGGCGTGCGCATGCGCCTGAACTACTCCGATATTCATGAGTCGCGCTGGAACGAAAGACTGGGAGAGCCTGCTAGGGCTGCTGGCCTGCCAAAGCGGGCTGTGCCGGATGCTTTCCTGGTGGAAGCAGTGGAAACCAAGATGTCAGCCCGTGGCCAGCCCAAATCCAAAGGAAGCTTTGTGAAGCTCTGTGGTAGGAAGAACCACGAGGAATAAATAAAATAAATAAAATAAAAATAAATAAAATAAAACAAAATAAATAAATGAATAAATAAGAAGCAAAGGGGAGCTCCTCTCTGGGCTGCCAAGCGGGCGTCTCGTCCGTTTCTTCCCTTAGTCCTTGGCATACCCAATGAGCCCGAAGCTAGCCGGATTCCCTCATGCCCTTGAGAACCACAGACAGAGAAGCAAAGCCGAAAGAGAGAAATTTGTTAATGGCCTGTGGCTGTTATCGAGCACCCTTGTGTCTTTGTTCTGTATATATTTTAAAATAAAAAGTGAAACATCTATGATCTCCTCTTGGATTGAGCCTAGTTCCGGAAGGTAGCTGGTTTCCCCTCGCAAAACTCTTGCGAGTGACAACAGCAAACTTGGCAAGAGGCAAGGGGTACCTTATTCTGGACCATCAGGATTGCAGAGCACCGTCTTCCTGCCTACTCACCATGCGACACCTGTTTCCTCCCAGTCTCCATGCAGTTGCCCAGGAAAGGGTCCCCCCCCGCCCCCCGCCTTCTCTACAGAGCCACCACCGGGGGCGGGCGGCAGAAACCCACAGAAAGCAGCTCCTCTCTGCTCAGGGGCATTGCGTGGGTGTTGCGTTGCTAAGATCAGAATTCTAGAACCACCCAGGGAACAGTGCGGTGGATTTCAAGGCTCCCCATAGTTCCTTGATCTCACCCCCGCCACCCCACTCCTCCTCCAAAAGGCTGCGTTTTCCACGGAGGTCTTGAAAATGGGCTTCTCACCACTGACCAGGAACGTCTTCAGGAAGTCTATCGTTGTGAAACTGCTGCCACGCTGGGAACGAACAAGCTACGTGGAAAAGATGGGGCTGGGAGCATGTCAGGTGCCTGTCGGCGTGTCCTGTGCCTCTTAAAAAAAAAACAACACTTGCTGAAGACAACAGATTTCAAGAAGGTGAGTTATTTCATCTCAAATTTAAATGCAAGTGAACTGCTTGGGATCAGCTGTTTTACACATCAGAACTAAAACAGCAGATACAAACGAATGGTTGTTGTGGGTTTTTCGGGCTCTTAGGCCGTGTTCTGAAGTCAGCCCGTGGCCAGCCCGTCTTCAGAACATGGCCTAAGAGCCCGAAAAACCCACAACAACCATTAGATCCCAGCCGTGAAAGCCTTCGCGAATATATAGATGCAAACGAATTCAGGCTGGTTATCAAAAACCATACCCAGCTCTGCTTGGGATTCTCATGGAAACCTATTATTTAAGTTAGATAAAGTTTGGGTAGAAGCACATACTAGCATGAGAAAAAAAAAGGGAGAGAAAAAGGGACAGATGTACAACACCTTAAAAAAAGATGGCACATTTATTGCTACATAAATGTTATATACATAGTGTTTTCTGGTATATTGACAGAAAAAGTGTTGAACCTCTTGCTGCTGGTTGGAAAATGTTTCATCAGTAACATTCCTGAAAACTGACACAGGGTACAAAGTTGCAATAAACCAACAATGGGAACTGGATAACAAGATGAGAAACAATTCATCTCGGACAAAGTAGCTCTTACAATACTCCATAAGGTACTACACAGTATGCTAGAACCCTACTATGCTCTTACAATGCTATTGTAAATCTCTGATATTAATGAAGAGGTTATGGTAAATAACCCTACATTTTTACTACCTAATATAGTAAAATAAAGTAAGAAAATTTTTACTGAAAACCTTTTATTGATTTCAAAAATCTAGAAAGAGTAATATTTAGAATTCAAGAAACTTTCTTACAAGATTATTGTATAAAAGACTAGCTACAGTGAAAAATAAGCCAAATGTTTTTAAATTTTTCTCTCTCTCTCTCTCTCTCGTTTTCTTTCTATTTTATGAAGGGAAGCTTCTGGGCATACTGCAAAGCCCAAGAGAGCCAGGACACAGCCGGCGTGGAAGGAAAAAGGCCAGGCGATGGCGGGGGAACCCTTTCACACGTCATCACCTTCCTTGCCATCGTCGTCGTCACCATCATCAGCAGATGTTGATTGAGCTGAAAAACACTGAAATGCAGAAGGAAGGAAGGCTGGCCACGGGGGTGGGGGTGAGTTTCCGGAGCAGAGGTGCGAAGTCGAGCCGATCAGCTGGCAAACGAGGGAGTCAGGTGGGATGGGTGGCTGTTCGGAATCCTCCGAGCCAGACTCTCGAAGGCCTCCCTCTGCCTGCGGCTGCAGCATCAGCAACAACACCGTTGTCGTTCTTTCAGCTGTGGTGGGATTATTCAAAGGGTAAAAATGGCCGGTTCCTGCCATGAAAGGCAAGCAGGCTGCCTGTGGGAGAAAGAGGACCCTGCAAGGCTAGGAAGGCTTCAGCCTTGGTTGCCCTCTTCCTCCTCCTCCTCCTCCCCCACCTCTGGGTGCTGGCAGTGGAAGACAGTGTTCGTGGAAGTCCAAAGGATTTGGGATAACCCCCCCCCCCGGAAAGGGGGAGCATTAAAGGAACAATCAGGGGAAGGTCATGCTCTGCCACACTTGGACCAAGCCGAAGTAAGCTGCTCTTGCCAGGCCTGGGGTGAAGGTGGCCGGCATACCACCCACGGACACCCCCCCTCCGCCCAGGCAAACTGGGCATTAAGCTGAGCTCTTGTAAGAACAAGCCGGTGAGAGCTGCCCTAGTATGTCTTCCAGGAGCCAGATCAAACCCACCCCCAAAATCTGCCCCAGCAGACACGGGACCTGCCTGCCCATCGGAGTTCTCGTTTGTACTGAACACGCTTTGCGCTTCCATGGGCCTTCTGCTGAAGAGAATAAAGCTGTTCTCTGGAGGTTCTCCCCATCCAAGGGGGGGGGGAGTCCCCCATTCTACCCTGGAGAAGGAACACCAAGCGCCTCAAGAGGGCTTGCCAGGCGATCAGAAAGTGCCCCCCCCCGCCTTCTTTCCCATCCAAGCAAAGCTAGGGCCAGAACGTGGCTTCTGCCCATCATCCTCTCCATGTGAACCTGATCTGTGGGGGAGAGGACTGGCCGGGACTCCCAAGGAAAACAGATGCCAAGCGGCCAGAGGCAAGGGGGAAATGAGAGACACCCCCCCTCTTGCCCCCCCTTCTTTTAAGACACTCAAAGGTATGGCGGGAAAACTAAAGGGCCTTGGTGGTGGCCGCCAGGCTCTCAGAAACCTGCCATGAAGGTGAGCCGCAGAAGGACGCCCCACCAGAGCTCCTCCCGGCTTTTCCCCGGCCGAACTTTCCCCCTCAAAGGTAGGCCTTTCTAGTCCCACGACAAATAAATAGCCACACGTCGTTACAATGCGTTTGTCATTTCAGTTGAGGCACAAGGCAACTTCCCCTGCAAGTGGAGAGACCCCCCCCACGTCGCTGGTGGTGCGGCATGCTGTGCTTTGCAACGGGAGGCGGAGGAAGAGGGGAAGACACGCAGAGCGCTTCCGGGGTGGAAGAAGAGGCTGGTGGCAGGGCCAGGGTGGGCACAGGGGCTGCTGGCGGCCAGCTGGGATCGCACGCCGGGCGGCGCTTGGGCTTCTGGCTTTCCCTGTCCAATGAGTCCACGTCGAGTCGTAACTGCGGAGTCTGTGTCCTGGTGAAGAAAAAGGTCACCTTCTGGGTTTCCTCCCACGATTCTGGAATTCTGGTGGGACAAAAAGAGGGCGTGAGCTACCCAGAGGGTCCCTGTTCAAGAATGGCAGGCCCGTCCCTGGGCCAGGCGCCACTCACCCTAGCCATGGAAGCAGGAGAGCCGGATTGTGGACTGGTCTATCGCTGAGGGCAGCCCCTTCCACACTGAGGCTGAACCGCTTCGGCCTGACCAGGGACTGAGTGGCTTCTGTGGAGACGGAGCCAGCCAGCACCAAGAACTCTGGCCGTTTGAGGCGATGGGAAGAAAACACCGGCCTTGTCTCTAGCCACGAAAAGGTCCCCCCCCCCCGGCTGCTTCCTTCCCACAGAGGCCTCTTTCCAGCCAGCCTCCTCTTAGCTGGGCCGGCCTGTCCTCTACTCCAGCCAAGCCAGATAGAGGCCTTACCTGTCAGGGGCCAATTCTACACCCCCATGGGCACTCAGCTATTTCTTTTGTGTGTGTGTATGTGTGACAGGCCATGTCCACGGTTGGGCTCTCTCTGCTCTCAACCCTTGAAAGCGGTCTGTCTAGCTTGCGCAAATAGCTGCGGGAAGAAATACTGGCTCAACACCCGTGTTTTCAGTGTTGCAGGGGTGGTGCTGCTTACGAAGGCTAAGGCATTCCACGCCCCACAATTTCTACAACATTTACAAGCTTTAAAAGCTTCAGCTGAGGACCACTATGTACAGTATTTTTTTTAAAAAAGAGGGCGAGATACTGTAGGCTGGAGCAGAAGACTTCTTGACATTAAATATTAGATGCGGTTCTTGGGAGGCCAGAAGTGAGCCTAGAACATGGCTAAAGTGTCTTCAGATGTCAGCCTTCCTCCAAGAATCCACCCACCTTTCTGTCTAGGGCAGTCACAAGCCCCTCTGCCTGCTGACACTGATAGGCATGCAATGTCCCTTACCTGGCTGGGGTTCACATATGGCCCATAGGGTTAGTAGTTTCGCTAAGCCCAGGATGGCTTCCTGGATGTGTGGTTGGCGGCTCTGCCGATACGGCAGACACTTTTTCCTCTTCCCTTCTCTTAAGGCAGGCTGCTTTGGGATTTAGGTTTCTCTCTAGAAGGAACATTTAAAAAAAGCATGTAGTATGCGGAAAGTGTGCCTCTGTTGGTTTGTATTCACAGGTATCTCCCCCTGTACTCCTCTCCTATCGGCTCCTCCAAACATGTTATTAACCACAAGCAAGGTCCCTCCTTCCCCACTTCAGCCAGCCCAGAGGGGTTCTCAGCCGCAAGTTGAGTATACTCTACGTTTGACTGCTGATACATCCACTCTTCCCAAACCACCTTATTCATGGCCTGTTATCTGCCCTGCATCTGCCAAGGAGAGCAGGGAGATGCAAGGAGACTCTTGATTGCTCACAAGGCCCCTCCCTGCACAGCAGCTGGACCACAGGGAGACACGTCCAGAGTCGCTTAGGGAGCTCTGTGACTGAGCCAGGAGGAGGAGGGAGCATCCCACAGAGCACGGCGAGGCTCCTTTTTTCAACTCTTAACTCCCACAATCCATCACTGGCATGACAGGTGACCCTGCCCACTCTGGAACCAGCTGTCTAAAAAAGAACATTTAAAGCCCAAATGCTGATCTGAGGTCTCCCCAGCCAACAATTATTTGCCTTTCTAATCTGAAAAACCAGTGTTCTCCCCTCTCCCCCTTTAGCTGTTTGGCTGTCACTTCCAGTATGGAAGTTCTCGTCCTGGTTTCCTTCCCAGGGACTAAAGGGAGTAGAGAATAAAACGAGGTCCGCCTTGCTGGAACAAGCAATACAGGCGAGATGTCACTCGGTGACTTAGGCCATGGAGCAGATATTCATGTTGACACCTTCCACGTCTCCAAGACATTTATACGGGCACCCTGGGAAGGCATCAGATGAGAATCCATAATACGCAGCACAGCTGCGTCCAGCCCGCCCACAGGGAGAAATAAACTCTCTCTCTCTCTCTCTGTGAGTGTGAGTGAAGGAGAGTGTGTGGGGGGGGGAGAGAACAAAAACCACCCTGCTCTTCGGAGGGAGATGGGTGGCTCTGACGGCCGTTTCATCATCTCTTTGACAGAGGGATGAAAGGATCTGGCCTCTTAGCGACCAGCAGCCTCTCTGGCTCCACAGAGAGCCACGCTCTAAAGCACTGGACTTATTCCACAGCCTGACCTCCAGAGAGGACTTTTCAAGGTGGACGTGAACAGGATATGGATGGGTTGGTAGGGTTCACTTTGCTTTCCCGTGGCAGCTGGTGACCCTTCCAAGTCAGGCAAACCCCATAAGGATTATGATAAATGGACTTGACAGAATGTAATTTAAATAAAAAATTATCGCCTATGGTGAGGGTTTAAAGCTCCTGGGGATCTGGTGTGTACAGAGCGCTCAGCATGAATGTTGCTGACACGAGAGGGATGGGGGTGGGGGGTGGGGGGGCTGCCACCCTGGACTGCATCAACCCAAGATGCACAAAGCATCAGCTTTCCACCCACGCCCTGCGCGCACACGCACACACACACACACACACACACTCGGCACCCCCACCCCCACCAAGCTGAAATCACAGTCACTTTCTTCTTTGTGGCCACAAAATTCCTCGGCCCCCCCACCGCCACCAAGCTGAAATCACAACCACTTTCTTCTTTGTGGCCACAAAATTCCTAAACTGAAGGCCGCAGGAAAAAGTGACCAAGGAGAAACTCCTTTTCCCTCTCCTCCGTCCTTCGTGGCCTTGCCCGGCCCTGCCTCCCGGTTTCAAACACGCCTAGCAAGACATCTGGAAGAAGCAAGGCAGCTTAAAGCCCCAGCTCAGCCCCTCAGACCCACGGCCGCCCCAGCCAGAGGCAGAAGTGGTCAGCTGCCTGCACTGGGGGACACGAGGCAACCCACCAAGACACCAAGGCCCATAAGGCCTCGTCAGGGCGGCGGAAGACAAACAAAGGAATCCGAGTGAAATCAACGGAATCCCAGGGAGTTTTTTTACTACTGGTTCGTGTTGCTGTTGCGACTGAACAGCTAAAATTCAGGCAGGGCTGGTCCACTTGCCTGGCCCAGGAACCGGGTGGCCAGCTATGACCGCCGGCTGCCCGAGGAAAGCTCTGCCTGCAGCGCAAGGGGAGAGGAGAGGGCGCGTGCACAAGCTTGACTTGCTCAGAACCACACATGAAAAGAAGCTCAAGAAGTTTTGCAACTGACAGCCTATCCCTAAAATTATGCTGGAGATGAACGCCCAGAATGCCACAAGGGAAGCCACGAGGATTTTGAGGGAGCAGGAGGCAGAATTTGGGGGCCATTCACCTGCCCAAGAAAGATTAAGCAAGGCGAGGAGATGGGAAGCGGGAAAGCTGGGCTAGTTCTTGCCATCACCACAGATGGCGCCACACAAGGCCCACGGGAGCCTCTGACGTCCCCTGGGATACGAGGCTGGGACAGAGCCTGTGTTTCCTTGCTTTTGCCACTGAGTGTGTGTGTGCGTGCGTGCGGGGGGGGGGACAACCTCATCTCCTTACCACTCAGACAGAGAGACAGACAGACAAATGGTTAGTGCCACGTTCCTTCTCCCCGCGGCCCCCCAGCTCACCTCTGACTTGCTGCTCCAGACTGAGGATGACGGCCACAGCCTGGTGAAGAATCAGCAGCTTCGTCTGAGGCTTTTCGCTCTTCAAGTGAAGCTGACACATCCGGCCCAGCTCTTTGAATGCTTCGTTAATGTCCCGGACCCGCAAACGCTCACGAGCATTGTTGGCCATCCGTCTCTCTCTCTCCCTCTCCAACTTCTGCTCTGGATTCAAATCCTCGTCTTCATTAGTGCTGCTGCAGAATGAGAGAGAGAGAGAGCAGAAATACACAGATGAAGTCCCACGGGGAGCCCTGACTGCTCCTCGCATAGGAGCGGCCCAAATTTTTAAGGTTCTGTGAAAGCGTGACGTGTCCTTCGGTCAAGGAAAAACCTGACCACTTCAACTCAGCCTTCTTTCACCCCTGAGGACAGCTGAAATGGAAGAGATCCCTTCCAGAAGTGTACACAGTTCATGTGAACTATACAGAGTGGGTAAGAGGTACAACATAGAAGGGCCAGAGCAGGTAAGGTCACCTGGTGCCCTCCAGATGCTCTGGATTATAGCTCCCCAAATCCCTGGCTGGGCTACCTATGGTTTATGAGAGCTTTATTTAAAAAATGGATGTGGTGGCGCTGCGGGTTAAACCACAGAAGCCTCTGTGCTACAAGGCCAGAAGACCAGCCGTCGTAAGATCGAATCCACATGGCGGAGGGAGCTCCCATTGCTTGTCCCAGCTCCTGCCAACCTAGCTGTTCGAAAGCATGCAAATGCGAGTAGATGAATAGGTACCACTTCGGTGGGAAGGTAAACGGCATTCTGTGTCTAGTCACGCTGGCCACGTGACCACGGAAACTGTCTACGGACGGAACGCTAGCTCTATGGCTCGGAGATGGGGATGAGCACCGCGCCCTAGAGTCAGACACGACTGGACAAATTGTCAAGGGGAACTTTTACCTTTACCTTACTAAAAAACAGCTGGGCACCAGGGTGCCTCTCTCTTGCTTAGGGCTTACCTAAGACTGGCAGCTCATTGGGAGAAGGAGGTTCAGCCAACCCTGGCAACCCACTCTGCACAAGGAGCAGGGCCTCTTTCCCAATGGGAAATGAACCCTGGGTGTCATGGCATGGGCCAAAGAGCAGGCTTCCTTCTGAAAAGTGCCATAAACCTCCCAAGGAGCTGCCATCATCCTTGCCTTAATGGCGAGTTTACCCCTCTCCCTGGGAAATGGGTCTGGGAAGCCACTGGATTCCCTTCGCCTCTTAAAGCAGGTCCAGTTCTTTAGATACGGAAATCTATAAATGCTATTTACAGGGATGACCCAGGGTTAATCCGGATTTATTCCCACCCGGGAACAAAAGCCAAGGGGGGCAAAGGAAAGGTGTTTTCTGCTGCTGCTGCCGCCACCACACCTTGTTCTTCCACTTGAGGCAATCTTGATATCCTTCTGGGAGGATTCGTCGTCTGATTTCATGTCGTCCGAGGAAGCAGGTTCATGGGTGTTTTCATCTTTCTCCTTGTGCTCGGACTTGATCTCGGCGGGCCCCAAAGCCACGGACTGCGTTGGCAAGCTGGCCGAGAGCACTGCAAAGAAACCCGGCAGAATTTGGCGACCGAGAGACCACGGCTATGCCTGGGCTTACCTTGCTTAGCAGATGAGCAGCAAGGGGTTCCTGTTCCACCAAAGGAACCCCAGAATCCAGGCACAAGAGGGCGTTGAGGTGCCCTTCCTACCCGATGCCTGCAGTTCTCTGCCTTTTTCTTGTGTCTCTTTCCATAACCCTCCACCAGCAGGTCCCAGCATGACAGAAGCAAAAGCCCCACTCTCCTCCCTCCTGGCCAGGATGAGAGGGAGCTCTCTCTCTGTTTACAGGAATTCTGCTTCCTTCACAGACAATTGCCGGGCAGGGGAAGCAGGGGATTAAGACAAAGTTTTTACAAGCATGTGAAAAGGTCACAGAGGGATTATGCACAATAAGGAAGGTTGGGAAGTGAGGGGATGCATTCCTCCAGAGAAAGACAGGAAGAGAAGCGCAGTCAATTCCTTGCTGTGGTGAAGAAAAACGCCGCTCCCTGCCTACACTGCTTCCAGATCCTTCCGGAGGCACATGTGCCTCCCTGGCAGAGAACCACCGCCACAAGTGTTAAAACACTGCAGCGGGCTGGGGTGTGGGAAGCTTTAACACACAGTTCAGAAAATGCCTTCTTGTGCAGTCTTCATACTGCTGCATGATGAGTTGCAAATGGAACGGAGCATTAGACCACCAAGCCTCTCCATTTCACAAGAAGAAACCACGCAAAATAAGGGGAGTTTTTTGTTCAGCCCCTAGATAAAATGTCGAGACATTTCACGGAACAGGGACCAAGCTTTACTATTGGATCCAAGTTCCGGGCACGGGAGCCCACGGGGGGGGGGGCGGGTTGGTCTAAAGCTGACCCTCTCTCTCTCTCTCTCTCTCTTTCATGGGAGGAGTTTTAGACAAGGTAGCCCCTTTAAAGTCTATGAAAGGAGCGACTTGTACTCCCGCGTCAACTGTTGCTCTGGAGCACCCGAGTAGCAACTCGAAACATTAATTTATTAGTCATAACAAGCCAGTATTTCTCCTCTGTGGTCCCAGAGGTGAGTGGGGAGGCATTTCATCTGCAGCACAAAAGAAATATTTTCTTAGGGATCTCTTAAGTCATCACAAGCCTTTCAAATGGGTTGGGTGGATGCGATCCTGCTAACCTGCCGCAACAAAAATAACAAGGGGTTTTGTGCCTCCTATCAAATGGACTACAGCCGAGGAAAGCTTGTGCTTTCTCACCTTTAAGGGCCCACGAGACTCTTGGCTGTTTCCGCTGGAACGGCCGTACACGGCGGCTACCTCCTGCAGACTGCCGGGGGCCAGGAAAGCTTGTGTTTTCTCGCCTTTAAGGGCCCACGAGACTTGGCTGTTTCCGCTGGAACGGCCGGACACAGCGGCTACCTCCTGCAGACTGCCAGGGGGGGGGGGAGAGGGTTCTCCCAGTGGGTTGTGCCCTTGCACTGCCTCCTGGGCACACCTGGAGCAAACCACGGGACTGAGGCCATCTCGGCTTCTGGGCCCCACAGGCACAACCCCAAGGCCACCTCTGTTTCTGCTGGCTCTGCCAGGCTTCCTCCGCTGAGAGTTTAAACACAGCCAGGAGCCCATGTATCTCGCTGGCCTCCTAGGCTGATCTCTCTGACCTGTGCTGGGGGCGACACTACGAGGAGTGATCCCTGACGGAAGGATCTCTTCTGGGCGATCCCTTGCCACAGCCAGCGAGCCACAGGGATGATCTGGGAACAACAAGCGGTTCTGGGGAGGACCAAACCCTTCCTTGGGGTTGAAGACATGCCCTCTGAGACAACTCTTCATGGTCTGCAAGGACAGGGAAGAAGTGCAGCAGGAAAGGGCCAGAGGGCCCCGCTGGCTGCCATTCCCCCCAAAAGCCTTCTGTGATTTCCTTCTTTAGGGTCAACCACACCATATGAGGAGGAAATGTCATGGACAGAGACCAGCTGGAGAGTGGCTGACCAAGAGCATCTCAGGAAAGGGCCAAACGGGGTGGGAAATGGCAAGTGGTTCAGAAGAGGGCCCATTCAAAGGACACAGGTCAGCAGATGACTAATCGACCTCCGACAAGAGGCTCCTTTCAGAAGGGCTTGCTTCTCTCCGGGACGGGCGCAAAGAGGCAGAGGCTGGTCTAAGCCACTCCTCCCCAACCGTCTCCATTTAGGAAAAACCCGGCTGCCAACGGACTCACCTCTGTAGCTTTCCGGTGTTTTGTGGTTGAGTTCTGCGTTTGGGCCGGAAAGAGCAGCGGGCAATCCTGTGTGGTTGCTGCTGAGGCCGACACTGTCCTCCCGGTGAGCGCTGACCTGAGGCAGAGAAAACACCGCCACCGAGGCCTGTCATCCCACCAAGGGACGCCAGGGAAGATTTGTCGGTGCTAACTTGACGGGCAGGCAGAGCGTCCAAGGGAGAAAGAAGGCCCTCGGAAACTCCTTGGGACTGGCTTCTGGGGCAACAACCTGCACAAGGAGGCCCAGCTCCCAAGGAGCACCTGCCAAGTGGGAGAACGTCCCCCCAGCAGAGGGTGCCTCAGGGGGAAATAACTCCGTGCGAAGCTGCTTAACTTTGCCACACAGGACCCCCCCACACACACACACACTCCCCACTCTCCCCTCCATGGTGCTGCTTCCTGTGACTGGCAGTGGCCCCGTCTGAAGCCCTCTTGACCAGAAGGCCCTGCGGCCCAACTCCGGCAACTTAGGAATCAATCCAGAAGATTCAGGAACACCTTAAAACAATAAGCAAGCAGTAAAGGGGAACAAACGGGTACCAGCTGCCCCCCCTCCGGGGAGCTTGGTTCCAAACGCCTTTGCTTTCTAAACCTCGCCAAGAGGCAAGAGGTTTCCTTCCTTTGCAGGCCCATCAGTGGGCACAGCCCACGTTCTGCCAACACCCCCCAGGAGCACCGCCGGGACACCCTGTAAGGACCTCTTCCTGGCTGTCACGCCAAGGAAAACGAGACCCCGGAAGCTGCCCAGTTCAAAGATCTGTTCTTCCCCCGACTCGTCAAAAGACACACACCTCAGGAAAGATGAGGAACAAACAAATGCCTCTCTCTCTCTCTCTGTTTTAAATGAAACTGGCCCACACGGATGGAAAGCAAAGGTCTTTCAAAGAGATGGAAAACACAACCAAACCAATGCAATTAAAAATAAAATAAAACAAAGGCTGGGGGGCAAGGGGCTATCAAGCATTTTACCACTATTATTGTCTGGAGATGAAGCTTTTTATTGGAATAAATAGCAGTGAACAGCAGCTCAGAGATTAAGCCTTTAATTAAATAGGTTTATTGCTCACAGTTACACATGAGAACTCCTGTTTTCCAATAAATCCTTCAATCCTGGTAAACTGCTGAGCTTTGAATCCCTCTTGAGTAATTAATGCAGCTTTTCCCTTTAACATCTTAGTGTGGTTTTGCTTAGACAGAGATAAATGCCCTTATGCAAGTTCATGCTTTAATCTACCACTGTTTTCCCGTGAACTCCAACCCATCCTGATTTGTTGCGTTTATTGCAGTGTGCAATATTTCCCCAGAAACACTGAGACACAAGCCTGTTAATATTCCCTGAATGCTATTTATTTATTTTTTTTAACATGGAATGAGTTTTATGGAATAAAACCCGAAGTCCAGGTTAGGGTGAAGTTGGGCCCTCCAAGACAGAAATGGTCTCAGTAGGAATCCTCACCTGCCCCTTTATGAAGACAGTGCTGAACTCACTTCCAGGGAAAGGGTTTAAAAAGGAGACTTAATTAGATTCAACCCCAGGAGGCCTCCTACTTCTGAATTTCAGTTATCCTCCGGTCCGAATGCAAGGGAGCTTCTATTCAAGCTGTCCGACCCAAAGAGCTGCCAGGTCCTCAGTGGTGTTAAAAAATCTAAGACTCATCTGGAAATGACAGCCCGGCGGAATGACTCTGAAATTCAGAAGATAGTTCGGAAATTCTGCACTTCAGGGAACATGGTAGGGGAAAACTAGCCAGCAGTTCAGATTAACTAAATGTGCCAGCAAATCGTAGACATGTTCAGATGACATGTGGACCAGGTAGAGAGCTAAGCCAAGAAGCTGCTTATCCGAGCCCTCCAGCACGCACAATAACCTGTCTCATCAACTCAATCACAACAAATAGATACTTCTCATTCCAAATACATGTGCACAGTCATTAAGGAGGAAAATGTTAAATTTTACATATCCTAGTGTCAGGTTTAGTCTGTGAACTTTAGAATGACTTTTGGAAGTCACGATGAGTCGTTATTTACTGTGATGAGAATGTGATTCCAGCAGTCATTAAGGAGGAAAATGTTAAATGTTACATATCCTAGTGTCAGGGTTAGTCTGTGAACTTTAGAATGACATTTGCTACTTTTGGAAGTCACGATGAGTTGTTATTTACTGTGATGAGAATGTGATTCCATGACTCTTAGGCTCAAAGGCCCGCCTTCCTTCCTCCTCCTCCTCCTCCTCGGCTGCACTCATGAGAGTCTAGACTGGAAGCTTTGCTTACAATTCTCACTCAACACAGCGACCCCGAAGAGGAATACTATGCGTCTCTTTGACCACACACTCAGCAGCTATGAAGCACAAGAATGATCTTGCTTCGGAAAACCCCATTCCCATTAAATATGGGGCTACCTCACCCTTAAGTGCTCAATCTGAGCCTGTGAACTAGTTCAAAGTTCAAGTGACACAAGGATGAAAAAGTGTACAGTATCAGGAAGTAGAAGGACGTAGGTCTCATTCACTTAGTATCTCTCGCATAAAGTATGCCAGAGTAATAAGTCCACGATCTGCTAATAATAAACCAAAACATGGTTTTAATAGCTTGCAATTTAGTCAGGTCTTGGGTTGTTGTTGTTGTTTTTTTTAAGTGATTAATGTGCACTATTGTAATTTTAAAAAATGTGGGGGAAAAGTTGGAAAGGCCTCAGTGGCAGATAGGAAGGTTAGGCGATCGGCATCTACGCTAGAAATAAGAGAACTAGCTTGAGCCCAACATGTTTCAACAAGAGCTCTTCCTCAGTGAGATTCTGACAGCATTTCATTTTAACCTCACATCTGCATGTTGTGATCAACTCTTTTTTTAAAGAAATGCCTGAACATCTGGGGGTTTCCTTATTTCCTTCCCCTAAAAATATGGACAGTGCAGTATTGACACCAGACACTGGAGCTTCATGTCTTAATGCTTATTTATATGCCTTTTCATTTTTCATGCTACATTTCTGAATCTGTGAAGGCACTCAAGACTTCAGCGTGTCTGGGAAAAAGCCAGGACACAATGACGACTGGAGTAAACCACTAGCCTAAAAAGCTAGCCTAAAAGCTAGGTTAAAAACGAAGGTCTTGGCCTGCTGGTGGAAGGACCGCTGTAGAGAAGCCAACGCAGCCTCCTGCGGTACGTGATGTATTCCAGACTTTGGGAGCAGCCTCTGAAAAGGCCCTTGTGATTGTGGAGTCACTTCCTTACCTCCCGGCTGAGCTGACCAAAAGGTGACACCAGGAGAGACATCTTTGGAAGATGGACCCACTGCGCCAGGTCTCAAAAGGTTAAGAATCCACAAACATCTGGCAGAAATATACACTCAAGAGTGAAACCTTAGCTTTCCTGGGCTCAAGAAGTGGAGAAAACGTTCTGACTAGGTCCCCTTGGCCTTCTACCACAGCCAGACATCTTCGGGAAGTACAGAGGAATGCCTGACGAGAAAGGGGGGGGGGGAAGCTGTCGTACGTAGATTAAATCCTAGGAGGAAAGAGCAAATACACTCTGGAAAAGAAAAGAGAAAAGGGCAAGAGGAGAGTGATCTCAAATAGATGGAACTCCCTAGTTTTCTGTTGCTCCCGCGCAGGGGAGTAAAATCCATGGGTTGAAATGGCAGGGAGCCAGATTTTGGAGGCAGGAAAAAAACCTTCCTAAAGACACAGGCTTTTCAACAGCAGAATGAACTACATGTGGAGCCAAGTCCTCCCAGGAATTTCTAACCTGAATTAATTTTCTTCCCTATCTGTACATAGCCAACCAATGGACTAACTTGGAAAGGGGGGGAGATCAATACGGCCACAGGAAGTTGCAAAACAGGGCTGTAGCCTATTTTAAAGTATTGAGTATGAAAGGAAAATATGTCCGTGTATAGACAGAGAGACCGAGACAGCCCATGTCGTGGCTACAGGCTTGTCTGGCAAGGCAGTGGACGAAGGAATGCTCTTCCCACCTCAGCCCAGAGGTTCTTGGTTGTTCCGGTCCATGCCAGGCCCTTTCCAGCAGAGTACAGTGGTGAGAACACAGAAGAAACAGGCTTCCAAACATGAAAGAAGATTAGTCACTGGAGGAAGGGCGGTGAAAGTAACAGCCACTGCAATTAAAAACAACCCCCTCCAAAACAGCAACAACAACAACAAAAATAACCCTGAACTAAGCAGAGAAGCAGGGACATACTTTCTTAAAAAGCTGGCTCAAAAATTAAGCAAAAGCTGCAATTAAAAACAGAGTTAAATTACTAATTCCCTTGTCTTTTTCCCTGCCAAGGACATTTTAAAGGAAATTTAATTATTTTTTTTAAGAGTTAAGAATCTAAAAGGAGTGGCACTTGCATGCTCTGAAAATATTGCTAAATCTAAATGAACTTCTTCTGGCTAAGGAATTTGCTCAGGAAGACCTTCTTTAGCGGAGCTGTGCTGTTTTTCTTCAGCCATCGTATCTGTTCTGCAGACTAACAGAACACAGAATCCCTTCAGCCTAGGATCACATTTTAGATGTGTTGCCTCTCAACACCGACCAAACCGAATTCCTCCAAATCCCATCCTTGCTCTGAGCACCCACCTGGGCTTCTGGATGTGTGTCTTGGAAAACACGCCTGCCTGTCTGAGGGGAAAGCCAGAATGCCTCCAGGTATGGGAGGAAATGGCCAAACCCTTCTTTGCTGATTTCTCAGAGCTGGCCAAAAGGGTAGGGAAAAGGGGGCCTTGCCCTCAGCTCTCTGAGGCTCCAGCTAGCCTCGGTCTAATTCAGAGAGCGGTGTTCGGCTGCTCACGGCTATCAGCCCGCTCTCTTACACAAGTCCACTGAGTGTTTCCGCATGCTCCCTGCCTGCCCCTTGCTGAAGACGAGCCTCCGCCAACCCTACCAATGGCCGATTTCCCCCCTCGTGAATATGACGCAGCTTGGGTCATTTCTGGGTTCACAGGAGAGCTGAGGCCAGTTTCCAAGAGATGATTGCAGATTTCACCAGCAGCTGTCATGTGAAGTCTTGCAGCTCCCAACGGGCTTATTCCATGAAGTCACGTTCACAAACAATAAAACTGAGTGCAGGCTTTGGTGCCAGATCCAGTTAGAGGGACATTAAACTTTAAGCAGTTTTCAGGGGGAAGCAAACCAGATGCCTCAGGGAATAGCCGACTGCGATGCTCTGCCCGTACGGGCCACTCCCAAGCCCCATCCCACCCCTTTCTCCTCTTTCGATGGCTAGTTTGCACCCTGAGTCCACATAGGCAGAGACTGAATCCACAGGGGGCTGGGCTGCAGCTCACCTCGAGCCCCCCCCCGTCTTCCCCCATGGTTCGGACAAAAAGGGACACCCAGAAGCCCCAGAGAACGCAACCGGGCAGCTCGGAGAGACAGCCTCTCCTCGTTTCTCAGAGGAAGGAAAAACACAGGCTGCCTTCCATCAGACCGAGGCCAGCCTATGCGGGGGGGTCAGAGCGTTTCGTGCCCGCTGCCTCCCTCTTCTCCGATGCGTCTGCACACACTGAAGGGCCACGCCTTCAATGCCTTGCCATCGCATTCTTCTGCAACCAAATGCATGAGTGACAACAAAGTCACTCCCCTTTCAAGACAACCAGGCACAACTTGCTCCATTACCTAAAGCCTATCATGGTATCTATGAATGCCTGAAGCCATGTGCGCTGCAGGAAAAAAAGAGTGGATCAGGAAACTAGCTAGATTCTTTGATGCTTGCTACAATGAATATAAAAATGGAGTTTTGATAGGCGAAAAGGATTTTCTAGATTAAATAACCCCCTTCAGCAAACAAGTTTAAAAACTGTTCACATGGAAAGTGACAATTCTGCCTTGGTTGCGAAATGCCCAGCTGAGAGCAGCCTGTTTTGGAAAAGGAGGCCTTCTCAGAAAGAGAGGGAGGGGCCTTTTCGCATCACACGAGAACAATCTCACCTGACAGACCGCCTGCACGGAAAGAGGCTTCGTTCTCTGGCCCAGCCATTTCAGGGTCTGTCTCTGATCCACAAAGATCTGAAATCCACTGCTGGTCCAGCCCTTTCTATGTAAGTATCAGTAGATACTGAAGAAGGGCTTTTATTTCATTCTTTGGCGGATGAGGGAGAGGATTCGACTACAAGGCAATGCTCTCCCATTGTTATATAAACTACAGCTGTGCTTAAACCCACTTCGTTGAGAAACTTAAATTTACGTCTTGAGTCTGGGCACAATCTGGTTTCACATACCAACCACTTCTTTCCAGGTCTCTTTGCCAGCATCTGGTTCCTGGGGCTTGGTTTCATTTTATAACCATCTCCCCCCCCTCCCTCCTCCCGGACTGCTTTCCCCATTCAATCTCTCTATTCACTGTTTCAAGCAAAGTACAATCTGCCAATTATTCCACATCTGGAAAAACCATATGCGTGAGCTCCAAGACTCTTGCACGAGGCCTCAGCTTTCGATCCTGGCCCTGGTAGCGTGGCTGTGCGAAGCGTTCACCAGGTCAGCCTATTTTAAGTGCCCTCCCCAATCTGACACCTCCTACCCATCCTCTGCCTTCTACACTACACATGGGACACTTCCCCCTTGGTGCCATGGACTGCCCTCGCTTCTTCCATCATCTCTTCTAGGAAGTGGTCCTCCTGTAGACATTACTAAGGCGTTAACACCAAATCTTCAAGCCTTGGTTGTCCTGGAAAGTAAAAGAAGCGCAAATCCACCTGCTTCCCGTAGTCCAAAGAAAATGGAACGGCTACTTACCATGGAGGCTTGCCGACTCGCTGCTCCGAGGCTGGAGGCACCACCGTAAGTTGAGGTCAAACCGGTAACGGGCCCGTTGTGGGATGGTCCCAGTAAACTATGAATATCCCCATGGGCGCTGGCCAGGCTGGTTGAAGGCCCCACGGCGTGGTTCCTCAGCACATGGATGGCATCGTCCAGTCTGTCCAAGCGATCCTCCATGCGCGACTGCTGTTGGGGAGGAGCAGCACTCAGCTCGTGGGTCGCACTCATCGGCTAAACCCATAATAAGCCTGCCATGCTTTCTCCAATGGGAGACATGAAAGGCAAGAGAACCGAAGGGCTTCAGAGGCGGCTAGCAGCGCTACCGGCACACGGTCAGGGAAGAGGTGATGCCTAACGCCAAAACAAATGGCTGTTTTTCAGAATTAGGCTCTCTTGTCAGATCTGTACTATTCAGTGTTTGGTGGGAAGGGAAGCAGAAAACTCAAATAAAATAAAACTTCACCTGGGATTTAAAAAAGGGAGAATGCCTAGAGTGGTCGTAATTGACTAGATTTAAAAAGGGAGAACGGCTGCTTGATGAATTTGGTACCACGGTGGCTTTCCAGGGGTCAAACGGCTGCAAAGTGTAAAAGCTGGCGTGGTGTCGTAGACCCTTCTGAGGCTCTAGACAAAATCCCACGGCGCCCCCAGTAAGCCAGAAGGTTCACAGAGAGTCCCTCCGCTGGGGGTCACCTCCTCCTTCCTGGCAAGGGGTGCAACACCCGACAGGAAAGCTGCTGGGGCGGTAGGTCAGCAGCAGGTGGGGAGAAAGCCAGCCATGAAGGGGAGCCCCCTCTCTCTTTTCGCCTCCCCTCTGCCTTTCTCCCTTCCTCTGCAGTGGGATGCCAGGGAGCAACAGGCAGTCTGTCCTTCCAGAGATCTCGGGAATTTAGGCTACGGGCCTCCAGGAATTAAGAGTGTTAACCAAACGTTGCTTTAAGGCAAACACTACTCTACGTGTTTCAGAAATCAGTCTGCACCCAGCCCAAAGAGGTCACTGTTAACCAGACACACAGGTCAGGAATCTCTCCCCCACTGTTTGGGTCCAGTTCATTTTTAAAAGGGCTCTGAGGAATCCTTTGACATCATTGTTGTCCGGAAATGCAGGTGAGCTGAGACCGAATGGCTGGCTTCAGGCAGGCCTCCCGTAAAGTCTGTCCCCGATGGAGACTGTGGCTCAAGCCTTCCCATCTTTAATGCCAGCCTGCTATATAGCTAGCCTGCTACACCTGTGGCCATCCTATTCTTCTTGCTTAGTTTTATTATTCTTTTAAATGAAGGACACAAACACGCCTCATTGCTGGAAGCTTCCTACATGTTGGACATGACAAGGGACTGAAGGAAGGGCGAGTGTCATTCATGCCATACCACATTTTTAAGCAGCACACTGTTGCTACCTCTAGGAAGAAATCTGTCAGTAGAGTTAACTGGGAAAATTAAAAAAAAAGGCACCATCTAAAGAGAAAGAGTACCTCACAGACATCCTTTAAGAAGGACATAGCATCTTGCAAATGCTCGTGAAGTTGCTGCTCAACTCGATTTTTCTGGCAAAGTCAAGACAGAACAGGAAGCAAAGCACAGGTTAAGTCATTACAAAGAGGGGAGGTAAAACAGCCGCTAGTGTGCACGTCAGCCCCAACGGTTAGTTGAGTTAATCCAACAAAGATCCAATAATACTGAGAAAGGAGAGGAAAAATGCTGAATACTGGAGTCACACGAGAGGCCTAGCTTGTACATACTGCTCACACTTCTTAGGAGAATGCAGGGCAATAACAGAGTTATTTTATTTGTTAGCGCCAAAAGAAAAATGTCATTTTGGAGAATTTACAATATGACTTAAGATCCACGTTTCCCCCCTCTGCCTCCTGGTGCACGACTGTCCAGGGCCCCTTTCTCTTAATGAGAAGCTTCAGCCCCCCTGGGCAAAGACTAGGTGCTGCTCAAACACAGAACACGGGACCCTGGAGCAGAGCCTGAGGGCCTCTCTAGGGCAGCCCCCGGATGCTCCCAGTGGCCAAGGAGAGGGTCCTGAGAAGCCCACCGCAGGGAAGACAAGGGTGGGGCGGGGAGGGCACCTACTAGCTCTTGTTGCCTTCTTTTGAACTGGCCCCTAGAACGGAGCTAGCTGAACTAGCTTTGCTCCCTCCAAACTGAGCTGTCTCCTAAATCTGCCTAAATGAGCGATCGTCACTGCTTTTCAAGAGGACTCTGGTGGGCTCACATACGTAGAGAGAGGGAGAGAGACCATCTTGTGCGTGCGCGCCCACTCCCACCCCCACCTATTTGCCTCTTCTCTCTCAGACTCTGCAACTTCCCTGTGTCCTGGGGGTGTGTGCTAAATCCTGCTGGCCAGCTTGTATTTTTTTTTCCTGCACCTTTCTCAGCTCACGACATGTCTTTCAAACCCCCATTTTCTGTGAGGACCTTAAATGCGGAAGAAGCATCACCTTCACCGCTGAAAGTCAAGGCAGCAACAAAGAGAAGTGTGAATCTCTCCACTTTACAGCAGCTTCCTGATCAGGCTAGCAAGCGTTTGCGTCACAAAACATAGAGGTTCCATTCACACTTTTCTTTGCTGAGACAAATAACACGAGCAAGACTTATAATAATGCAGTTTGAAACTGTTTTATTGTCATGATAGCACTGCAGTCCAAAGCCCAAGGCAAAGGGAAAAGTACAAGAAAATGAGAGAAGTCTGAAATGTTTTACCACCATGTTTTTTTTCTAGGCTGAATCAGCTGGTGGTTTACAACAAGATAGCGCAGAATTTCACACAAGGCCACGACCCGCCAGCTGCCTTTCAGGCAGAAGCTCGATGCCCAAGGAACAGATGGTGAGAGACCCAGCCTGTGCGTTTGGTATTGTTCACTTGAAGGCAGCCATTTGTCAGCAAGGGATCCCTTTGTAAGGCTACCCTGCCTGTTCTCTGCAGGGCCGGTAAGACTTTATTCGACAGAACTAAAATGCCAACAGGGCCCGATCGGGCATTAAGTGATTCTTACCAAGGAATGCAGGGAATTTTCATAGTTTGGAGATGAAGGGGCTTGTCCTCCGGGCCTCGACCACTGACTGGCACCTGTCAAAATCAACACTGCTGAGATGCAGACGCATGCAGGAGAAGCAGAACATAAAAAGACAACTGGGCCACAGTAGAGCAAACCCCAAGACAATTTACAACACACAACATGTATTGGCTCCTGAGACCCCTTGCCTCTTTGTGTTGATAATCAGTTTGCTGTGGACTTTCCAGGTATGCTAGATTTCCTAAGACGCACCAGAGTTCTAAAAACCACTTTTCTTATTTTGAAATCCTGTATGTCTATTCTCACTAAAGTAATAATAAGGTAATTATGGAAGCAAGAAAGGTCCAGTTGTGCAGTTGTTCATTACACCTTTCCTGGCAGTAGCACACTTTGCTCTGCTCTTTGAATCCTGGACAGTCTTTGACACGGTCCTAAAACAAGTCGGATGCAACGACCTCCATGCGATTATGCTGGGTTGGGCCACGAAACCTACCAATTCCTTTAAAATGGCTTGTTTCTGGCACATCTGCATTTCCAATTAAAGCACACAGCTCTCACAGCTGGCACAACACTGATTTGTACAAGAGGACAACAGGCAAGCAGGACTCAAATGAGGCTTCGCGACTTGTGAGCGATGGTCCTTCTGCTGGCAGGCAAAGACTTTTCTTTATCCAGGGAAGTGCTGGGGAACTGGCTGGAGCCGAGAGAGGGGCTGCTGCCTGTTGGGTGTTCTAGTTTTAAATGGTCTCCCCAAAGGTTTCAAACTTTTTTTTTTTTTGCTTAATAGTGTTTTAATTTCTAAATATGTGTTTTGATTTGTGTTTTACTCTGTCTTCTCATTCAATGTTTTGAAAATGTATTTTCTTTGCATCCCTTTTTTGGGAGAAAGAGGTCAAGGGAAACCTTCAGCTGCTGGCTTTTGAGAAAGGAGATGCTGACTCGTAGAGCCTTGAATAAGGGAAGCTGGTCTGGGGAAACGGGATATCTGCCGGTTACCATACGTCTGTCTCAGAAACCGGAAAACAAGAGGTCTGGCTGGCTGTAGAGCCCCATGTGCCAAAGGGTAAAAAGGCTAATGGGAGGCGCTTCCTGGCCTTCACCGAGGACCGAGCTCGTGTCCACAGGGCATGGAAAACTGGCTGGCTGGCTGTTGAAAGGCTCCAGAGTGGCCTGGCCTGCAAAAGGGCAGGCTGAATGGCTGGCAGCTGGAGCAGGGACAGACCATTCTGCCGGCCCTGCTCTTTCTTCTAGGCCATGGGCTTCTTTCCACAACGGTATCCACAGACTGCCAGGAGGTGCTCCCACGAACACACACAGTACCCGACAGAACACCCCCTTGGGCAAACGAAGATGAACGGCACCCTCCTTCTCCTGCTGGTTTTGTACAGAGGGGCATTCAGTTGTGAGTGCTCGCCTGCAATACGATCCAGACAAGTTCTGCATACAGAAAAATGTGGCACCAGCTCAACTATTCCTTCACAAGATTCCTACTTTAGTGCCCCCTCCCTTAGAGGACTGGCTCTCAATCAGTGGCCCTTCATATCTTATGGACTTCAACTCCCAGAATCCCCAGTCGGGATGAATACATATTTTCTGCCCCCAAGATGTTCATCTCGGAGAACTTACTTTTCAAAGATTGTGTCTGAAAGGAAACAAAGATAAAGGGCAAGCCTCTGTTCCGGGTGTGGGGTGTGGGCGAAAGACAGCCGGGCTTCCCACAAGGACTCCCCCAGCCTCCTGGCCCCACAGCAAACCCACGTGGAAAAAGCCTTCCACTGGAGTCCAGAACAAACTTTTCCCCACCAAGCATAACAGAAGAGGCAACAGGGAGGGTTAGAGCTGCAGCAGGACGTTCCTCCTCCACCCTCCTAAGAAGGAACCCCCAAATTAACAGTCTCTGCGGGAGAGAGCTGGAGTCCATTTTCATGACTTCTGTGGTGTCCACACACAAGTCAAGCGTTGCCGTTGGCCTGCTGGGAGTAGGGCAGAGAGAGGAGCCACATGAAACCTGACTGCAACAGCCTGTGCTTCTCTTCAGAAGGGCAGACCCATCTAGACTCACCCACCCACCCACCATGGAGAGCAGTATGAGTGCACTAATTAAAAAAGCTGGTTCCTACCTGTGAGTGGTGAGGGTGATCCAACAGGTGTCGAAGGATTTGAAGGAAAACTACTGCTGGTATGGTCAGGGGAATATATCTAGAATGTAAAGAAGGCAAAACATATACACACATATGGCTCTTGAACCAACTGCAGTAGGGCAGAAAAGGATCTAAACAATCCCAACTGTGCTTCAACGTATTCAAAGGAAATCAAATGGCCAGGAAAATTATTGATCTGATCACTTTTACATTATTGCTACCCTGTTTTGCCAAAAATAAGACCTAATCTGAAAATAAGCCCTAGTAGGATTTTTCAGGATGCTCGTAATATAAGCCCTACCTCCAAAAAAAGCCAGTTAAGTGAAACCCAGCCCTCCAACCAGAAGATGACATGACTGTATCTGAATAAATGTAGATTGTTGTATATGAAAAAAAAAACCTCCTGAAAATAAGCCCTAATGCGTTTTTGGAGCAAAAATTAATATAAGACCCTGTCTTATTTTTGGGGAAACACGGCAACACATTCTGAATCATGTACTCCCCTTTCCCCACAACTTTATAATTTAGCAGAATTTTAGCAGTTATTGCCACCATTAAACAATCGTGCTTCTGACTGTGCACAAAATAATCTCAATAAAGCGAAGAGGCCTGCATGGCGTTGCTTGTCCCAGAGACTGTGGCACCGCCACTCCTTCCCATCTTCCAAGTTCATCTTAAGAAAGGGACATGACCCATGAGACATTCTCTGGAGAAGGCTCCCCTCCCTCAGCCAAAGCAGAGCAGCCCCCCTCCTGTGCAGAGGAGGAGCTGCTGCTGGCAGGCAGCCTCCCAGGGCCATTTTCTCTTCCCTCCATTGTTTGACATTAAAAATCCTGTTGGGACCCTTGTGCAGCTTGCCCAAGGCTACACAGGCTGGCTCTTCTCTTCTCAGGAGGCACAATGGGGAATTGAACTCACAACCCCCTCTGTGAAAGATGGCGTATTTCCATGAAGGAGAGTTATGATTAATCACAGTTTGTCCCATCTGGGCAGCACAGCAAACCGTGGTTCATCAGAAACGGAAGCAAAGCCTTCCTTCCCATCTCCTCCTTGTAGCCAGGCGGGAAAAGGAGGAAAGAAGAAAGAGGGAAGCTTGAAGGGAGCTCGTTTCACAGTTTAGCTAGTGATGCCGTTCACTGTCTTGTGAAAGGAATTGATCAATTCTTATCAATAATCCCGTCGGAAGCATCTGCGTCCCCTACCCAGTTTCTCTTTTGCAAAATGTCTGGCATTGTAAAGCTGGCAAGAGAACAAACTCTGCACATGTTCGGTATTTTGACTTCATTCATGACAGGCAACCACCACGGATGTGATGGGCTGGCAATTTGGCTCACAATGGAAAAGAAGAAAGCAAGCAAGCAAGCAAGCAAGGATATGCATTTGCTTCTGGAAGGCCCCCTCAGGCCTTTCCCTCATTTTACAAGCCTCTCTCTTCCCAGAATGGATCTCGAAAAGGTAGGAAGCTTCTGGTACAAAATCAGAACATGGCCAGTGCCTTGTAAAAGAGAAGGCATGATTTGGGGTTGGTTGGTTGACTGGTTCCAAAAGGCCACAGGGAGGAGAAAATGGTTATCTTCCATGCTTTAGCAGTTGATGACTAGCGAGGAGGAGCTGATTTGGAGTCTTCTGAGAGGCAGAAGAGGAACCAGAGCTGCTTCCTTTGCAACCAACAAGAGCGCTCTGTCATCCTCTGGGTCCTGCCTGTCAGGGTCCCTTCTTCTAACCAGCAGGGAGGCCATACGCTTGGGCTCAAGGCAAAGAGCTGCCTACAAAGGCCAAGCAAGAGGGAGCCTGCAGCCCCCCAGCCGCCCAAGTGTGTTCTAAACACTGCAGAGTCCATTTCAGGCTCCCTTTGTCATGCTAATGTCCCTGGGCCTCCAGTGACAAAGGCCATTCAGGAATTACTAGGGAAAGTCAACTTCCCAACATTTCCCTCTCCTTTGTTGAAGGAAGGCTGGCCATTTAGCCAACTGAGTTGCACAAAGGCTGTTCCCCCAGGTTGGGAGGCAGGAATCAAAACACAGGTCCTGACAAAGAGATTTGATATCATCAGCAAAGGAAAACCGCCCTCTGCTTTGATCTCCTTTAAATTAAAGACCAAGTGTTTTGATTTGGCATTAAGCACTGAAATAAACCAGATGTTTCTCCTGCCATATAACCCTCCCTGGGCACAATTGTAAGGGTTATTGTTTGGCAAATATTCAGGGAAACACATGAGAAAAGGCCCAAACACCCAGATTTTCTTTGCTTTCTATCTACACGGGTTCATTATCCAAACCAATGTCTAATCCATTGGGCTTTGGGAACTTTGTGTAAATACTTTCATGTACAATTCTCTTTTTTGCCTACCCTGAGATTAAGACCACAATTATCCAGGCTTAAACCTAAAATAAAAGAACCTTTGCAAATGTATTATCTGGCCTTACATGTTTAATCACACAGCATTTAATACTTAAACTGAGGAACAAATGTTGTATCTTCTGAGGTTTTACTCATGAAAGGCCTTTTTTAAAAAAAATGGAGGTACTGTCAGCAGAATTTTACAACTAGATCTTATTGTTGCTACTAACAACAATATTTAAAAGCCAGGAAAAGTGTGTGTGTGTGTGTGTGTGTAAGTAGTAGTAAACACTGGGATGACTGAACTGCTCCAGTCCATAGTGTCCTTAACCAGAGAATGAAAAAATACCAGTGAACCAAAACGGGGAGCCAACCCCCCCCATGCTAACCCTTTCTGTTCTGAAGAGCAGCAGCAGAAAGCACCGCTTGCATGCCTTTTCCTGTCTGGGGCAAGAGGAGATGATGGAGAGAAGCCCAAGATTCCAGGCACGGAGGCTGGAGCGAGCCTCGCTGGAGCAGATGGAAGGCATCAACCTCAGTGTGGAGAGCGATGATTTATGGAATGACCCAATTGCCCTGCCAAGCAGCAACCTAAGCCCACCGGAAGACTGGGTTGCTACGACAATAACAGTCCCCCCCCCCGGCTCTGACAGCAGAACAGAACCAACCCACCCACCCCTTTTCGCCACTGCAACGTTCCACCAGTTTGGAAAGCTCATTGTCTTATTATGAGGCGAAGTCATTTTCCAAAAGAAGAGGAGTAGCTGAATGCCATCCCTAGTGTTCTCTAACAAAATGCAGATGATGATGAAAGCCGTGAGAGGCTGCATCAGAGGCTCATCAACTGGCACCGCCATTAAATCTCCTGAAGGGTGTTGCCTCGCCTTCCAGGGTGACCTCACTGTCTGGTTGCTCTGAAGCTAGAGACGAAGGCCTACTTCTGCTCCTTCCTCCTTCCTTCTCAAAGGGACCACCTGTAGCAGAGCTGATCACTCAGCATGCTTCTGAATCCTGACTGAGCCAAGGAGAAACTGTATCTCCCAGGACAGCTATTTCCACTTTACTGCAGCTTGGTGGTAGAAAAAGGAGTCTTAATTCTCATCAGAAAATATCACACAGAGCTGCAGTTCCAAAATGTGTCCGTCCCCCCCCCCCCGCCATCTCCAGACTCCTGAAAGTATTCACCACCCAACCTATTTCCCATCAAGGCTGGTTTAACACAGGAGCACCCACCCACCTGTGTAAGTGCAACTCTGACAGATGTCTGCTGGACCAACACGTATAGGAAAAGGGTTGTTTGTTTTTTTCACACATCTTGGAAATCCTGTCCAGGTCACTGTATGTCGGATGTGACTTCACAGCACATAACAACAGGCACCCAAGATCCGTGGAGTTTTGCCAACCACCTCCACTCATAGATTCAAGACTGGAATATTTGCATTATTCACATCCTGAGATGTAAACAGCCTGTTGAAAACATGGCCTGTACTCTTGAGAACTCTACAGACATCCCATGATCCATCCTTACAGGTTTTAGCAAAAATGGGAGTTTGACTGCATATATTTTTTTTCATATTTCGAACATTCCACTTGCTTCAGCTAATTCACGCTTTGTTATATAGCAACATTCGGGACCCAATGGAAACAGGACAACGGTCATGGCACGTGGGGAGGGGGGGACCAACGGTCTGGTTCTTATCCTTACTACTTCACACAACTTTTGTCAGTTCTTTTTTGTTCTGTGCTAAATGGATTGTGAACCTTCTTTTCAAAGAGACAGTTGCGTCCAGTTGAGTTTTCTCTTTTCTTTTCTGCCTGTGGAGTGCCATTAAAGCTCCTGAAGGCTCCAGAGGTGGTATTTGTGCAAGGCACCAGAACCCATCTATCTGTTCAAGGCGCAGAAATCCGGAACGATTTTCTGTTTTCATTCATTCCCATCATGCCCTCACTGATAATGATGTCTGGTTTGCACTCTTATGAATTAAATGGGATCCTCACAATCAAATCAGAGGGCGACCGCCTTGCTCTGGATCCTTGGCTGTCAACAGTGCAGGCACATGTACACACAGACACACCAGGGCACCAAGGGAGTATGGTCGTGGCACAAACAGCAGCGTCATCACCTTGCCCACCGGCTGGGCCATCCCTGCCTCTGCCTCGGGGTGACCTTTCCTTACTTACCGAGGCCAAGGCCTTCCCAAGGGCATCCCCGGTCTGAGAGCTTCCTGCAGCGCTGCCTCTGCTAACTGTAAAGAGAAAAGGGGGCGGGGGGGTGGAAGAGGGGAAGATTTAATAAAGACAAGGACTGTTACAGGCCAGGATTGTTGAATAACAACACTCTTTCCAAATGGATGACCCTGAAGAAAACAAAGCCTGGGGGACAGTTTTTATGGATCCAGTTGTCGCCAACTCTTGTCCCACAGGGTGGGGCAACCTTTATTTTGGGAAACAGCCTCCCTCTT